AGTGTTCACTGTCCCATCACAATGACTGACAGAGTAGAGAGGCTAGTTGGCTTATAGGAAAACTGGTACCTAGCAGACACCATCATGACTGTCAGACAGGCACGTATACAGTCTCATATATACATTCATAATAAACATAAAGGAATATATGGCAGACACATTTGCTTCCTTTTATTTCTGGCACTCAGCCTGTCCAGCCTTGTGGAACTAAAGCAGATACATTATTCAGTCCATATGTCTCGCTAAAGCGAGCTCTTTTTGATCTTAAACTGATAGGCCAAGAAGGGGCTTTAGGTTCTTTAGGCATGGACCGCAGGGCTTTCCACTGCAGCACATGAGTAGCAGTCGATGCAGGTGAGGCGGTCATCCTCCGGCATTATCTTCACTTCATTTTGTTCACCCCTAGTGCTCCTTCCATCCACCTCTACCTTTATCCATGCTTTCCTGGTTCCATTTTCTACCTCTCTCTCAGTCTGTTATCTTTAGAAATCTGGGGCATAAGCAATCCTGACAGCCAGGGGTGGTCTTTTTTGTGTGCATCTGTCCTATCTGATTTCAACAACTTCTTCTTAGGTTGCCCTTCTTATTTGCGTTCACGTAGCCCTTCCTTCCCTCGCCCCTCCCTTTCATCGCTGCCACTGGATTTTTCCTCCTTTGAAGTATTTCCAGTGAAGATTTCTATTCAAAACACTGGAGTATTTCAGCAGTGAGGAGGGCTAGACCCAGCAGAGAGCTTTCTAACCCCTTCTCCTCAGATGCTGCTCTTCATCAAAATGAAAGAGCCTGGGTCTGAAGCACTTGCCTTGAGAGAGAAAGAGCGAGAGTCTCTGTCTTTATAAAAAAGGTTGGGCTATAAAGGCCTACCGTGTGCTGCTGCTTCATAGAAAGAAATGCGCTATAGGCTGTGGAGGCCCAGCGATTGTTGTCTGTGGCAGAGCTACTAGAGAGCCACTGGCAATCTGGCCATTGGTCTTAGAAGGTCTTTGCTTCGGTGTTGTCTCCACAGAGCTAAATAGAGAATCTATATTCTTTCTTTCTGTGTGCATCTCTCCCCCGGGCCCGGCTCTTCCTCACGCTGCATGGGGCTCCATGTCATGCTGCCCAGATGAAAGCAAAGCATTCTGTGGATGGGCTCATTTGTCTTCGGCAGTGGGCCTGCAGCTTTGACGCCTGCCTTCCCTCCCTTTATTTAGTAAGAGAGGCGCACTGACATTATCGGCCGCTGCAGGCACATTTGAAAATAATTGCCTGTATGATTGCTATTTTTCTTACCTCTTTGAGGAGGTGTAGCCTTTGTCTTGGAATCAATGGCTGCTCAATACTGGACAGGGGAAAGGCAGTTTCCTTTCATGTCTCAGTGAAAAGGATGTATTTTTAGCGCTATTCATTTTCGCAGTGTGTGCCATGCAGTTTTAATCTATTGGTCCTCTACGCTGCACGGAGAATGGAAGAGATTCAGAGGTGCACCACGCTGTTGCAGAGAAAAGATGCATTGACTTGTCGTCCTATCACTATCCCTCTTTCTTTGTCTATTATTTATTTGATTCCCCAGCTCTGTTCTATGAAGTGAAAAACTGAAAAGGCCTCAGTTCTGCTATTTCAGGATGGGCGACTCTGGGGACCGAGGGAGGAGGTGTGCGCTTTTTGCACTGGCGTACGCGTATTTGATTGTGTGTGGATGTCTTTAAGTGAAATGACAGCTACACACTTTGTGTACTATCAGCTTTGTATTTAAAAAAAAAAAAGGAAGAAGAAGAAGATCTGCCATTGTGTGTTTTCTCTCCACTTCATGCCCTAACACACTTAAGACAACAACAGATGGCTGTGTGTCATCAGAGCGTTGATTCAAGCCGCATATTTCCACGGAAAGGAGTCACAGCGGAGAGCGACGAGGGTCCAAATGGCTGTTTATTCTGCCATGACTCATCCCCAGGGTGTGATGAAGGAAGGTCTACCCTAGAGCAGGACACCAAGTCGGCGTTTGCCACGGTGCAGCTACGTCCAGAGACGCCACAGTAAATCACGCTAATTGATGAGCAGCTTTGCAATGCTTGCAGTTTAAATGAAGGTTGTTTAATCATTATAGGCTTTAGCTCATCTTGGTGTATACTGGCAGGGTCCTTCTAGGCATTTTAATGTCTCTAAAAATGGCTGCCAAGTGTGTATTTGTATGTGTATCTGGTTGTACATCATGGAGTGGCTTAACTACTTCATTAAAAAGGCATTTGAAAGGATAGAGGCTGAAAATGAGAGATGGGAACATTTATTTTCTATGGCGGAACATTTCAAGTGGGCCTCCATCCAATATTAGGGGTTTAAGTGGCATTTCGCAGGTCCATTAACCACTGCCTATCTGCAGTAGGACTGTATCTGTAATACATTAAGTCTGAATGTCAGTTGCATTGTTTTCACATCTTCCAAACGGACATCTTGCCAACAGAAGAAAGACAGCAAAATGGATTTAAAGAAATGTTGCCAGATGACCCAGATGTGATTCACATCCAGCACGGTCACAGCTCTGCGCGGTAAGATAGCCAGCGAGGTGTTTTGACACCTCGGGGGTCTTTGTCGGTCAGAAACTCAACCAAGAAGGCTGACAGACAGGCCAGCGCACGAGCAGCCTGCCACTGCTCATTCAATTCAGAATATTTTAATAAAGCAGACAGGCAGAGAGAAATAAGGTGAGGAGTATGGGAGAAAAGATAAGGGCGAGGGAGACTCGCGGAGGGTGGAGAAGAAGGTGGGTAACGGGAAAGTGAGTGACAAAGAACAAAGGGAAAGCTGACATATGGGGTGAAATTATAGAGTGTGGGGAGAATGGAGAGAGTAAAAGTGAAAGAAGGGTATCCTGACAGAAAGAGGGTGAAATGAGTGGGTGGAACAGGCGGGCAGATAGAGGGGGAGAGAGGGGAGGTGGGGATAGGTTAACGCGGAGAAACAGTGGGGGGACTCAAGGTGCAATGGAGGGAAAAGGAAGAGGGCTGGATGGGAGTGATGCGGGTGAATAGAAAGGGGTGGACAGCTTGGTGTATGGACATCACACAGATGGGCCTCTTAGGAGCCGCTGAGGTAGCAAGGGGCTCCATGCCGCTCCACAGCCTTACAAAGGACGCTGACTTCCTGGCTCACTACATTCCTTTTTTATAACCACTGGGCAGGAAGGAAACTTGAATTTGGGTGGTCTTGGGCAGACGGGGCCACGGTATCTCCACTAGCCTTAAGCTTTTAGTTAAAAGTAAAAACACAGGGGAAATCCAAGTATTCCTCTTAAAGCGCTACTACTTCGATATGAGTTGTTCTCCCCTGTTCCTGCAGTGAGGCGCTCCAAGCCTCAGCGGGATCGACGGCAACAGGGACAAACAGAACGAGGGCTGAATGGAACTGAAAGCAGCGGCAGGAAGCCTACTTTAGACCTAAGCTCCTCCTCCCAGCTGAACTGATGCAAAACAGCGACTGGCCTTTTCCCTCTAAACCGCATCCTGCATCACTTGGCTCTGGGCTAATGGGTAACCATGGTTACAGGCCTCACACATCCCCTCCATCTTTTTTTCCCAGGGAAAGAAATTGGAGTGAGGGAGTTGTGGGGGCTGTCCATATTGTTACCTGCTTGCCCTTGTATCCCTGAAGCTTATCGGATCACTCCATCTTCATAAAGCTGTCCATTACGATGCACGTACTGGTCCCCCATTCCTCTCCAGTAGCACGGAGAGGAATAAACGAAGCTCAAATACTGCTCGCTGCTTCAGGGTGGCTTTTTTTGTTTCTGCACTGAACCAGGCCTAAAAATCTCTGGTTCGCCTCCCACAAGCACAAGGAGTGGAAGGAGAAAAAACAAAAAAAACAAGCCTCTTTCTGCTGAGATGTTGTTGCAGTTTTTTTTAAAGTCTGCAGTTTTTTTAAAGTCTGCATTACAATTCAGACCCACAAAGCTGGGGTCAGATGCAGAGAGCTCATTCAGCTGCATCCTGTCTACGTTAAAGGACTCTCATTACCCGGATGTTGCAAATCGAAGTGCGTTCCCTTGACATCCGCGTCTGTAATGAAAAACGGAGTGCGGGAGAAAAGTGTGCAGTGGAGGCGACAGCGCAAGATGCCTGGAATGACATTGTGGAGGTGAAAAACCTCTCAGGTCGCCCTCAGCGGTACTCACCTGGGAGCTGATGTGTGAAGTTGGGTGTGTGCGTGTGTGTGTGTGTTGAAGCAGGTGATGGAGTTTAGCAGGGTGTGTTCGGGGTTCAAAGAGCAGCCCTCGGAGCGCATCATGTCTTATTTTAACGAGTGGGAAGGATTGAAGTGTGGCTGCCACAGCAACCCCCCTCTGTCACCTCCCTTCCTTCTTTCCTTCCTTCCTTTTCCTCTCCCATCCCTCCCCCACAGGTTCCACAGCTAGGCTCACAGATGAGTTGCGTTCAGACAGGTGAGATGGCTCATGAATATTTATGCAGTGGGATTTCATTCCTGTTGCCGGTGGCCCCTCCCCTTCTCCAACGCAGCACTGCGTTTGTCCTTCACAGTAAGAGGCAGCGTCCTCGCTCCTGTCCCTCAGGTTAATCTGCCTGCTCTCCAGCCAGTTGTGCGTACGCGCGCGCGTCCGTGGTTGTGCGCATTTGACTGGTAAGTAGGTTTCCCCTAGTGAGTGATGAGAAGGCAGACCTGTCACAAGGGGGCCCACCGAGATGGAGAGCTCCCAACACCCTTCATACCTCACTTTCTCTCTCCCACCGCTCTCTTGCTCTCTCTAAAGGTGGGGGAGTAGGTGTGTGCAAGGCTGAAGTGCGAAGCAGAAAGATGGCTTACACCTGGTCTGATGACTGTATGTGTCAGGAATCCTAAAGTCTGTAGACTCCAGTAAAGCTCACACTAACGATATATAACTGAGATATTTTAGGTACAAACGCAGACGAATATGAATGATATGAAAAGAGATGATTTGTAAATATAGTCATTTTTATTGTTGTTGGCAGTTTGGTTATGATACATTAATTAAAAAGTAAGGCTGTATGCACTAATTGTAGTTCTAATACTGCGTTCTTATATCAGCTGTTGTAGAACTATGACTATGGCCCGTGTCTCTGTGTTTGTGCATGTTTCATTTCATAGCCGTACAAGAACAGCGATTACCTACAGAGGGAGATTCACCATATCAGACTGACACACCTCCACCCAACACGTATGTGATGGGAGGATCGGTCGTGTTTCATAAATATATGTACATACTGTATTTGTTATTTAAATGCGGGGATAAAGGCTGTGGTGGAAGGGCTGCAAAAAGCAACAAGACAAGAGGACAGCCATGTTGGAGTGTGATGGAGAGTAAAGGGGGAGGATGCAACCCAGTGAAGAGCGATGGAGACAGAGAGAGACAAAGTGGGTGCCTCTCTTTATGCTTATTAGCCAGGCATTAGCTGCAGCTAAGCACATTGCTTGTGGGGACTGTAATATAATTGTACCATTTTTGTCTGCTGCCACCCACACCCGATGCAAATATGGATATGATCTGTTCATAATTAGCATACCTGTTAAATGCATTTGTCAGTATTGCCCGGAGAGCACAGCATTTTTGCTTGCTGGCAGTTGTTTTTGTGTGTGTGTGTGTGGGGGGGGGGGGGGTTTCGAGGAAAGTATTTCTCAGAAGACATTTTAAGGCATGAATGTAAATAAGTGACAATGTTTTTTTGCACATTGCCGGGCCTATTTTGCAGTTTTGGGGTGTTTAAAGTATGCAGTGTTTTGTCAGACCTGGATACCACTAAAATAAGGCTGCAAAACTGGAGCCTGTGGGGCCCTATAGTGACAATCTAGTGGGAACCAAGGCAGAACCAACGCAATAGTAGCCTAATTAGATGACCTGATTACTATATAGGCTGGATAAAGTATGGAAAGGAATCATCCTCATAAGAAGTAATTACAGAAGGGAACATGGATGAAAAATGCTTTTGTCTTCCCCAAAACGAACTTGAGCGGGACAAATACATTTCAGTGACACAAGTGAAGCAAAAACACAGTTGACACTTTCTTCTTCTTCTTCTCTTTTTTTATTTCCAGGATGTCATCATTTATCCATCCCAGTGCCATAGCTATCTGTTATGGCTGAAGTAAACATTAAGGCCATCAGTCTGCAGTGTGCATGGAGGTGGTTGCCTCCATTTGTCCATGTCCAGTCAGCTGCGGAGAAACTGTGATGGATTCCTGACAGATTGTCTGTGTTTTGGAGCGTGTTGTTTTTCCTTGCCCATCCATTTCTCTCCTTCTAGCCATGTTTGCCATGCATCATCACTCTCCCTCCTTCCACCTCCTCTTTCTTTTGCCTCATCATTTCTCAGAGGGATGGAAGCGATAGGATAGACACCCGGCTACCTGTGAGGAGAAACTATGGAAACACAGCGCTTGTTATTAGTGAACACTGTGTGACACTCTGTAGCACCACCCAAAGACATACACAACTGGGTCTTTTTTTTTTTTTTTTAAATTCTCTTGCTCTCTCTCTCTCTCTTATTCTGCCTATATCACTCTCCGTTGCTCCTGCCACCATCTCCGTGTCATTGTGTGCCAGCCCGACTTGTCTAATCAGCAGATTTGTCCAAAATAATTGGCGGTGGCCTTGCTGCTAGCGAGCGTTGTGCTGTATACAGATAGGGAAAGGAGCACTTAATATTCCACGCAGCTCGTGCCTCTCCTGTTCTCTGTCATATCTGACCTCTTTTGTCTCCCGCTCGGCTTGATGTTGATTTTGGAGGGCATTGTTAGCCGGAGAGCTGTGATTGGAAGAGGTTGTCAGTGAGGAGGGCTGTGGTTGGTTGGTTTAAAGGAAGGCTGATTTGCATAAAGGCTTAGCCCAGATTTAGAGCCACTCAGCAAGATCTGAGGAGAAGGGCCCGAGGGCCGCGAGGTAATCATCCATGGCCTGTCACGGCGCTGTCATCCCTCTGCGTATTTGTGTGTCTGTCTGTATCTGTGCGTCTGCGTGAGCAGGAGACTGAGAGCATTGTGTCTGCGCTTTGTGTTTGTCCTGTTTCGCGTTTTGTATGCATCGTTGTTGGGCGTCTCTATCTCACTCTTGTTTCCTCATGCTGTTTTTTTTTTTTTTCTTTGCTTTTGTTTTTTTTTCCAGGAAGGATTGTCCGTGCCAAGCGGATAGTAGAAGCAGCCAATGCTAAAGAATATGAATATATGGAAGGCAGCATTCCGATGGAGTGGGACGGTAAGTCTGGGCAGTAGCATCACTGTTACATATTTTAACTATCACTAACATGGATAAATGGCAGTGTTTACAAAAAGAGCTATCCGGGAGAGTTTATTTAAAAGGAAAAAAAAGTGCTGCACAAATAAACTGGAGTGACATATTCATGGTTGCATCTTTTGGGGCCTCAGCTAATCCACTGATTTGTTTTTTTCTTTTCCCCCAAACTGCAAGATGGAGTTGGGGGGGCGGGGTTGTGAAAAGGGTATTCATGAGTTTATCAAAGATGCCTTCTGCTAGTGTTATACAACCGTACCATAAAATAGTGTTTCAAATTTCTTACAACTGGATACAAACTGTTCCCTCTGTCTCAGACTGGCTTTATCCACCTTAAACCCCTCATCCTGCTTCGCCCCATCCCTCATGCATTTTCATCAGGATGCAAATAAGAAAGGGATAAAAGAGGCCCAGAATCCCCGTGCTAGCTGGAGGAAGAGTTACAAAATCTCTCTCGCTCTTTCTTGCTGGCTCCCTTTACCCTTCTGTGCTGTGCAGCCAGCTCAGCCAAAATAGAGCTTCTTAAAAAGAAGAAGTGTGTGGGGGGGGACAGACAGACACAGTTCTGCTCGGGAGGAAGAAGAAGGACAGAGGTATTGATGAAGAATGACAGAGTGTGTGCTTTCAAATTCAAAGATCAGAGCAGATCCCCTCTTTCCCCTCTGAGATGCAGAGCCCGATGGCCCTGTTCTGCCTACACTAAAGCAGTATTAGTGTTTTGAGTTTGCCATGTGTATAACTCTGGATGTTTTCCCTATAGAGTGCTAAGTAAAATGAAACAAAACAAACCAAAAAAAAACCCCGCATACAGTCCCCGAGCTAGTTTGGTTACCCGGTAGTTACGCTGAGCTACTGAAGTGCCCCCGAAACTCTGTGATGCTATAGTTGCAGCTTTTAAATATGACTGCAGGTTGTGTTTGTGCAGCATATGTTTGTGTGGGTGTTCTCACTCGTCTTATTTCTGCTCTCTCCTCCTCCTGCTTCTCCTCCAGCTTGGATCCGAGGCAGACGGAAGGAGCCCCCCTCCATCGAGGTACGTCTCCACCCAGCCTCCCCACTGTGCTGATGGTTGGACTCTGGGGGACTGGTTACAAGGGAGGGAAAGAAGCAAAGATGGGAAGGAGAAAGGCTTTGATTTGTTTTATCTTACAGTCTCGAACTGAATCCGGGAACTTTGGGGGACAGGTGTTAAAATAAACAGCAGCTGAAGTGCATTGATGGTGAGGCTGAGAGCAAAATCAGCCTCTGAACAAGGGGCTCACTGACACCATGTCCTAGTTTACTTTCTTTCTCCTTTTTTTTCCAGCAGAAGCCTGCATCTCGCCTTTTTTGTGTTTTATTTCTGGCAGCCTGTGATATGGGAATGGTGAAGGAGTGCAGTTTTTCCCCCTTGTGTACCTCTCACTGGGTTTATTGCTCTTTAAATGTGAGAATGCTGGAAATTATTTGGCCTGTGAAATGTAGGTCTATAGGAAATCCCTTGGAAGGCCAATACCCAGGCACTCTTTCTATCTCTCTGTCCACTCTGCCTGCCAGTAGCCAATGCCATCCCCTGCCTCTACTGCCAGAACATTCTCTTCCAATTTTCTGCCTCGCGTCTGCCCAATAGCTGCCATCGACAGCTGGACAGTGTTGATGTGGCCAAGGCTTCACTCCCCGCACATTACCCTACCCCTTGTCACGCTCCCTCTTTTCCCGGTCCAAGCCGACATAAATTGATTGGATTAAATCCTGTCATTAACAGGCTGGAAAAGCAGCTCAGTATGTTTGTCTCCCTCCCCAAAGCAGGGCTTTTTGGCCACAGCTCTCCCCTCTCTTTTCCAGTCCTTCATTTCAGCCAGCACACAACAGCATTATGCCCATTCCTCCCTTCCTTTCTGGCTCCTTGAGCTAGGGCGAGGCTAACATCACTGGACACTAACAGTGGCTCAAGTGGGTAACTATTCCACCAGTGGACTGTGACCAGTTTATAACTGTTTCCATGGAGTGGTTTATATTGCGAATGTCTCCTGTCATGTTAGCTTACCGATGTGTTCCAAGTACTACATTTTTAACCAGGTTTTATTGGACCAATCCAGGTTAACTGAACACGTTTGTTATTCTTCTGTTGAATGCCCTACTTCATACTGGACACGTGCACACATTTGTTCCTGGAAGCTTCCCAGTGCAGCTTAATTTCTCCTTTAACTTTGACTGGTGAGCAGCTGACGCTCTAAGACGAAACAGAGATAGTCGATTAAGGAGTGGAAATTATCACCGCTTGAGTTTTGCAGGAGAGTTTGTAGTTTCCAGCAAGTAGGACATACTCAGATTTTCCTATCTTCACGAAACTGCCAGCTCAAGATTTCCAACACCACAATCAGATAATGTCCAGCTGGGTGGGTGATGCAAATGGATAGAGTGTCAGAGATGTTGCGTGCCCTCGTGATCTCAGGAGCTCATTGTAACTTATTGTTAAGAGGTTCCAAAGAGTGCAGTGTTATACATTCACAAAGCAGAAGTGGTCTATTTTTAATCTTCTCTTTCTCTGTTGAGTTTCACTGAGCTGAAACCTGCAGAAAACACTGCTAGTCAGCTAGTCCTGAAAATGTTGACTGAAGTTAATCTATTTCCTTTGTTAAAGCCAGCTTTCCTCTGATTGGTTGCTGCTTGCAAACAAGTAAACGTTAAAAGTGTTTGGGGCTTCTGGGGCTTAAAGAGAGAGCTGTTTGCCTAAACTCACTGCATCCAGGATACCTGCTCTCGCTGACATCATAGAGAGCTGAGAATTAAAAAAAAACTGTAAGAAACAGAGACATAAGTGCAGTCTGAAGTCTGAGCTTGACCCCCAGACTTCAGACTGCTTATCCATATACAAAACCTGGAGCCTCAGCCTCTCTAAAAGCATAATAGGGTAAATTATTATATAATAAATGAATAAGCTTATGACATTTATCTGAGTCCTGGTCAGGGGAATTATTGCTTCTAATTATTATTGTTATAGTCTATATCTAGAAACCACTGATACAAGTATTATTTGAATTATTATTATTATTATTATTATTATTATTATTAGTCAGAAATATCCTCATGGGATTTCCATTATTCTGTGACATTTAAAATGGTGTTCAGCTGCACTGTGTGCAGTATTGAAAATGTCTTAGAATTTGACGATGGCTGCAGAAACCCTGAGTATCCACGTATGTTTGTGCATTTTATAGGAGCTGCTGAAGAACGAATCCAACAGGGAGCAGATAAAAACAAAAGCCAAGGAGGTGGAGGAGAAAGATCGGGCTCTGCTGGCTAAAGAGTACAAGGAGGGTCTGGTGGCGACTCCAGCAAGGACTGTGGCCAAGGGCCACGCAGCTGCCAACAGCTTCGACAAGCAAGAATTCAACGAGGAACCAACCAGCACTGCAAACACGTTCCAGCCTGGCTCCTGGATGCCCACTTCCAAGAAAGACTAATCCAATCAACAAAAAGGGGCCCTACAATAAAATTACTTGAGATTTAATATTGGAAATTCCTTCCAGTACAATGTCGTCAACGTCCCCATAAATTTTGGGTGTTTACGTTACCAGGAAAGTGAAATAAGTATAATTATTAAATGTGGTTACATTAAATGAACTGTTGTCTCTTTGTTACAGAATATTGATTTGAAGATCACAAATAATAATAATAATGTTGCAGTTTATGGATTTAAAGACATTCTTCTCTCACTTATGTTGACAGTATATGTTGGGCAGACACGGTTCTGTGTAAAGTCTTGAGCTACTCCTGATTTCTTTATTTTGCTGGGAAACTGGGAAATAGATGCAGCAATTTATCTGAAATGTGCAAACCTATAAAAATACAGTAAACTAGGCAAAAAAGTCGATATTTGGTATTCCTGCCTTTATTCTTCAGAACAGCCTGAACTCTTTTAGGCAGGTTTTCCTTGTAATTTCTACAGGAATACTTCTTGAAGGACATTTAAAGCTCTTCTTTGGATTTTGGCTGCTTTTTGCTGTTTTCTGTCCCGATGATCCCACCCTGCTTCAGTAATATTGAGGTTTGGGCTCTGGGGAGACCAATCCATGACTGATAGTGTTCCATTGTGTTTTTTCTATCCACGTATATTTTTTACTGCATTTGAAATGCATTTGGGATGATTTTCATGCTGAACAACGGTATTGCATGGAGGATCATAATCTGATGTTCGTAATTCCATCAGTTTTATTAAGATCTCCAACATCAGTGGTTGAAACGCAGCTCCAAACCATGACAGAGCCTGTGCTGTGTTTTGCAGATGGCTGTAGATGTTCACTGTTGTATCTCTCTCCTGACCTCCTCTGTACAATGCTCATGACGATTTAACCCAAAAATGTCAAATTTGCATTCATCACTGAATTTTCAGTCTAGTTCTTGTAGAATAACTCAGCCTTTTCTTCCTGTTTCTCTTTAAGCATAGATTCCTCACAGCCACCCTTCCACTGAGACCATTTATGATGAGACTTTTGCATCTGTGTCAGATCTTTGCTGCATTTTTTTCCCCCATTTCTTAAGGACATAACTTTCAGATACCGATCATCTTCGATAGATAGTTTTGTTTAAGGCTGTCACTTCTTCGTTTGTCCAGATTCTTTAAGGGCAAACTGCTCAGCATGCCAAAATATTCCTATTTGTCACCCTGTTGTTGCAAAAATACTATTTTACACCTCTACAAACCATGTTGTCTTTGGCAGTTTTCATAGATTCTACTACAGAAATGGTAATGATGTATTTTTGTGACAGGCTGCTAGTAATAAAGTGCCTAGAGGTACAATTTGAAATTGTTTTTTTTTTCTTTGTTATGTGTAGACACAACAGTGGTTCATCCCTAAAGTTATAGGAGTCTTTTAATGCTTGGATGATTCATTGTAAAGTTAGTGGTTAGTGGCTTACCAAATTTTTTAAAAATCCTCTGAAATGGTCAAAGATATACTTTTGCTCTTTTTATTGGATACTAAGTAGAGATGGACAGGAAATTGGGGAGAGAGAGAGGGGAAGACTGTTAGCTTAAAACAGTCTTCCCTCTCATGTCTGTCATTCTAAAAGCAGTCATGAGACATCAGTTCTCTGAACGCAGGGAAGTAAAACTAAGAAATAGAAAACAGTTACACTAAACTGCTTTGACTGCCTCTTTATAGGCTCACGAGTACTCAAAGCCAGTCGCCACCCATAAAAATACCAACCCCTGTGGACTTTTGAATGTTTTATTTTACAACACTGAATCAAAGCGAAGGTTCACTTTCTACTTATAAACAAAAATAAAAAATGTCTAATAAAATGAGCAAAGGTCTGCATCCAAATTAAAAGCATACAGTACATGAAACACGAGTTGTTTAATATGTAATCCTGGTTTACTATTTTTAAATTGATATTTAATAAAGGCACACCTGTTAAATATTACTTTTCACCTTCCTGTACCGCAGATCATGCTGATTTGTTTGATGCTTTTATATTTTAGAACTCCATAATCAACAATAAGACCTTGCACATACAGGAGTATTACCCTTAAATGCACTTGCTGTCACCTTACTGAACATTGCGAGCCTACTTTTTTGAATTTGTGGTAGTGTATTTTATTACCAGCCCTCTGATTCAGTGTTTATGGGTAAATAAGTACACAGCATAATATTAAATCCAAAAAAAGGAAGCTTTCTTACCAACCATGAAAATTTTATTGATCATAAAGTAATCATTTGGATAGCTTGCAAGTTATCAAGCTTAAAAAGTTCCATTATTCTCATTATGTCATCATTTCAGCAAAACGGGGATGCCAACAATGGAATGCAAGGTGTTGCAACAGCTGCACGATATAACAGCAGGTCACTGTATAAAAACGTTATACAGATGACTACTGTGCTGTTGCTGACCAAAGTCCCACTGAGACAAGCTTCCTCAGGGCAGTACTGTCCATCAGCACTGTTAAGTCTGTGGGGCCAGCGTCCCTCCTCCTACCCTGGACATGAGGCATAGTGGCCCTGTGCTGAGAGTAGGTCTGGGAGAAGGAAGGGCACCGTGTCATTGTTTAGAAAAGGAGGCCTGCGAGCGTGATGGTTTGCTCGTCCTTTGCAATGCCCCTATCCTAGCCCTCGCCAGCTCAGTCTTTCTTGGTCCTCTTGGCTTTGGCTATGTTTTCCTGACGTTTCTGCTTCTTCTTCTGTTCGCGGTCACGTGCCTCGATCATCTTGGCCAGCTTCCAGGACAGCAGAGCGCTGGCAATGAAGAGAGGGGTGAGAGCCAGTATGATAGTTGTGAGAAAACCATAGGGGTCTTTGGCAGCCCACTCCACCACATACTCTGCCCATGCTTGCACGTCGATCATCCTGTTCAGGAACGATGAGGCTCAGACCTGAGAAAGATGGCCACGAGAGAAAGCTGTGAATATGTGCGACATGTCATACTCAAAACATATGTGTATATTCAAATATTACAAAAGGGGGAGTATGCTTTATGGACAACTTTCAGAATGAACTTAAAGGAAAGTTAAATATAAAGTTGTTTATAGGTTATAGTCTTAGTTGCTCTTTTATATCATCATATATCTTTGGTTTGTAAACTGTTGGTTCCCCAAAGAGTAACTTGGCAGCATTACAATCAACTCTCAAATCAACACAGATATCATTTCATTTTTCTGAAAGGTAAGATTAACCAATTGTTGTATTAACTAGTAAATACACTGATCAAGGATACCATTATGACCACTAGCAGGTAAAGTGAATAAAACTGATTACATCTTCATCATGGCACGTGTTGTTGGTCGTGATACATTAGGGAATAAATGAACATCGTCTCCTCGTGGTCGATGTGTTAGTAGCAGGTAAAATGGGCGGGTGTTAGGATTTGAGCGAGTTCTTTTTCCAAGGGCCAAACTGTGACAGCTAGACGACCGGGTCAGTTCATCTCCAAAACTGCAGCTCTTGTGAGGAGTTCCTGGTCTGCATTGGTCAGTATCTATCAAAAGTGGTTCAAGGAAGGAACGGTGGTGAACCAGTGGTCGGGAATGTTCTGCTGGGAAACATTGGGTGGATGTTACTTTGGCACCTACCTAAGCATTGTTGCAGACCATGCACACTATTTCATGGTAATGTTATTCTCTGACAGCTGTGGCCTCTTTCAGCAGGATAATGTGCAGTGCCACAAAGCAAAAATGCTGCTTGAAAAATGTAATGAGGAGCACACCAACGAGTTTGAGGTGTTGACTTGGCCTGTGGATTCTCCAGATCTCAGTCCAATCGACCATCTGTTGGATGTGCTGGACAAACAAGTCCAATCCATGCCCCACCTCGCAATTTATGGGACCTAAAAGATCTGTTGTTAACATCTTAATGCCAGATACCACAGCACAGGGGTCTCAACAGGTCAGGACTGTTTTGGCAACAAAAGGGTGCTCAACACAATATTAGGTGGTCATAATGTTATGTCTGATCAGTGTATATCACCTAACAATGTGAGGTACTTTTTAAAATTGTAGCAAGAAAAAAAATCTAGAACTGAATAAATGGAGAGAAACCTGGGAGGTGTTCAAGCAGCAACTGCATTATAACACAAAAACATGTCTCACTCTCCTGTCATATACCAAACACAACCTCCCAGCATCCACCTGCAGGCTCCCAGAGGATGTGTACACACCACACATATTTGCAGGGAGTGATAAGTCTTACCGGATACGACAGCAAGACATTAATGAGTTAAGTAAAGACATTTAAACAGAAATAAAGAGATCCAATGCTGGTGAGACAAATGCAAGTTCTAGAATTAAATATTTCTAACACACTGATAAGAAGGAAAGTCTAATTCTGTTACTTTAGCAATCCTAAGCTTGATATCAGATCAAACTGGAACCATACAGTCTCATGGACCATACAGTCGCTGATCCTCACAAGCATGTCCGATCTTGGTGGAAGAACACCTCACTTACACATTTGTTTAACATAATATTGCCAAAACATCTGAAAGATCCATCTGGACACTGTTGAACTGCTGTCCTCAGATGTTTAAGTACATTTAAAACAAGAACAAACATGTAGAAAAAAGCTTTTACCCAAAAGCTACAACAGCACTAAACACTGCTGAAACCGAACCTTGTAAGATAATTGTTTTGCATGTGTGATATGTGTGTTTTACCTTCTTTTTTATGATTACTTTTAGAAATTTCTGTGTGTATTTATAGACTTTTTTTTTATAAATAATTACAATGGGAATACTTTCAAGCCTTTTTTCCCAGACCTTTGCACTGCACCCGATTTCGTTGTACATGTGCAATGACAACATTATTATTAGTTTAACTGCGGTCCTTTTACCCAAACACAGTCACTAACTTTGTCCAAGTGCCATGAATAAGAGGACAACAGAGGCGCACTTCTTTCATTGCACACGGACCAGCTGGGCTGTAGTTAGCCCCAAAGGATCATTCAGAGCAAGGAAGTATAGCGAAGTCTTTTTTTTATGTTTGATTACAGTTAAAAACGTCAAATGGACTTAGATGATCTGTTAGATAACTGAAGTTACCCCCAAAGACTTCCGTTCCCACAGTTTTCGTGTATCGTCCCTACGACAGTGAAAAGATTTAGGGCGCCATTCAACAGGAGTCATTTGTAAAGCGCTCCGACCAGCGGCACACAAGCAGCTAATGACCAACGACTAACTAACTAGCTAACCAACTAACCACAGTCTCTAGCTACAACCTTAAGACATCAAGTTATGCGAGCGATTTTAATGTGTATGCATATAGGAACAGATATGCATTTCTTAGACGCGGATGAAACATTTAGTTTCATTTCTACTGCCGCTAGCTAGCCCACCCGTGCATTAAGGCCTGACTTTTCGATACAAGAGCACTTACTCTCGGTTAAACAGTAAAACGACCGTCTAAATGAACGCAACAAACCGCCTAATTTATGTTTTCAAAACAGTTAGTCCTGATAAAACTCAGAGTGGCACAAAATACACCAACTTACCAAAAGGAACGGAGATTTGTGTTTGTATCCGCGATAAACTACCCAGCTCCTCCTTGTTCCGGGAAGTGGAACTGGTGTGGCAATGAGGCATTCAGGTGATATCGGCAAAATGTAAAAATAAGAAAAAAACATTGGTTTTTGTTTGTATTCATGAATTATTCTAAATGTGTAACACTTTCACTAATATTAGATGCCAAATATAAATAAATATCTAAATATAGATAAGATAAATACCCTTCTGTGTTGCATTTGCAGACCGTCAATACCAAAAATGCACCGGTATAACTTATGTAGAACAAGCCAAATCGTTCAAATATAATTCAGAACGTAATTGTAATTCCAGCTTAATATGTTTTTTTTATCTTTACTTAAAAGGGTATGAAATTGTCTGCAATTTGTAATTTTTTCTGTTTCCCCGCTAGAAGTTTTCGAAATTACACTTAATCAGTATTATTTGAATGCACCATGAGTTCTCGCTTGTGGTTGGACATGATGAGATTCCTTGGTTATTGGGATATGTAGTCCTCTGTACCATCAAGCTATAGGAATGACTCTAAAATCTAAATATATTTAATACATTTATTTGCCAGTTGCTCTCAAGAAAATTAAGGAACATTTAGTTTAGATGACCTTATTTATACTCTAGTTGGAGGTTGCCTGTTATGTCCATCAGTATCAAATTGCTCAAAAGAAACACGGAAACGCAGCAGACTATGCAATAAAGACATATAGAACAATTTATAAACATATATATATATATATATATATATATATATATATATATATATATATATATATACATATATAAATAAATAAAGCTGAAATGTCTGATTGTGTGTGGAGCTGTTCTGTCTGGAGAATAAAGCAAATGATAACTGTGTTAAAATAAAATAGAATAAAAAGGCTTCATTGACCCTCTGAGAAAGATGACTAACATAACAAAGGAGGACCTGCTGGCTTTGTGAACTTCCTGTGGGGAAGTATTGAAACCAAATCAGGTTAGGCCACATCTGCTCCGTCCATACGGCATGGATCACTTTCAGAGCAGTTCAAAGGCCAGCCTTTTAGACTTACTCACAGAGCAATGAGAGGGGCAGCTGGGAACACATGCGGCAGGCAGACACATTGCAAACACACATTCTGGTATACCAGTGTAGTTTTGAGCCAACTTTTATAGACAATTTAGAAAAACATACCCCAACCTGGCAGCTTTTCTTTGTTACTTGCTTATAACAATTAACTTCTGTAGTGGCTCATCATACAGGAAAAACCAGGGGGCAACAGCAGCCACACCCTAACCCCTGATGAGTATTCTACCCCTATAAAATTGGGGGGGCCCTTTCATGACACACAGACATGGAACTAGCATTATCAACAGACAGGGTGGGGGCCAGTAAAAATGAGTGTACCACAGTTTGTGGTTAACTGGCTACACTAATCCATGTGTCATAAGTGTTTCAAGAAAGAAACACACTAGGTCTGGCTCTCCTATGAGAATTTTCTAGCATTTCTTTTCCTTTTTTTGTTTGGCAGAATGATAGACTGAAATACAGGAAAGAGTAAAAAGAAGATAACGTGATGGCTATGAGAACTTTAAAAAAACACACAAAAGCCTAAAAGTTATACCTATAGCTATCTAGAACTACAGTTGTGGCCGGTGCTGTCTTGGTAATGTGAGGCTTTCAATGACTTCTTTGGACTGTATTTTTTTTCCCAGGGTGGAATAAAAAACAAGAACTGAGTGCATAAGTTTGAAATTATTTAGAATTGTTACTAATCCACACAGGGCCAAACCCCTTAATGGATTAATGCCATTAACATTTTGTGAAATGCCCCTCAACGCCTTCCACAGATGTTTCTGGTAGCTGTTAACAAGCTTCTGGTATAATTCTTTATGGATATCTCACAACTCTTCTTGGAAGAATTTGTAGAGGCCATTCCAGAGTTTGATTTATCTACTCCAAAACCAGTTTTGATTTATTTGGGATCATTGTCCTGTTGGAACACCCAATTCTATGCAAGTTTTAACTGTCCAGCTGGTGATTTGAGGTGAATTTCAAGAATTTGGAAGTTGCACTCCTTAATTACTCTACTCCACTTTGTGCAATGTACTAGTGTCACCTTCAGCATCCCCAGAACATGATGCTACCACCACCATGCTTGGGAGAGTGAATAGGTTTGAAAGCTTCACCTTTACTCTGCCAAACCTACCTTTTGTAATTGTGGCCTAATTGCTCAATCTTTATTTATTCTGACCATCAAACTTTTCTTCGGAAGGTATCTTGCTTTTTCATGTAGGCAGCTGCAAATTTCAGTCTATAGATTTTGGAACAGGGAGTTCTTTCTTTGTCAGTGCATTCGTGGTCCATGGTGATGTAAAACTGGCTTCACTTTGGGCAGTGATGCTGGTATTCCAGCAGTTTCCAGTTCATGGCAGGTTTGAGCCTCGGATGGTTCCTGGGTTGTTTCTGAACATCCTAACAAATTTCCTGCCATCTGAGGGTGGCGGTTTGGGTCTTTCCAGTCCTCAACAAAGTGTTGACATGTCTGAATAATTTGTGCTTATGTACAGTTGTTGGAATTGATGATCTTGGATCATCATTGGATCATCTGCAGTTGTTTAGAAATTCCCCTATGAGACCTTCCCAACTTGTTTAAATTAGATCTTCACTGAGGACCTTGGACTTTCCTATAGTTTTGAGTACTGCTGTGTCAAACAAATCCTTTTTGATACAGACAAAGAAAGTCAATAGGGCTTGGAATCGTCAAGTTAAAAGGCACTGTAGAACCTTCAGAACCACTTATTAAAATATTGATGTGAGTGTATGAATATATTTGAACCTGTATGTTTACTTTGACCCTGTGTGGATTAGAGAAAACCCAAAACAAACTGAAACTTGAGCAAACAATTTTTGTCGTTTTGAAGTCTTCAAAGATTCATGCAGTGCAATCATTCCACCCTGGAAAAAAGAAAAGTTCAAAGAAATTGTTAAAAGCCCCAAATTACCACTACATCGGTGCCCAGGATAAAACTTCTACTTCGAACTAGAACTCTAAAAAACACTACCTTGATAGCATCATTGACCCGTATACCTGGTAGTATCTTAAGTTACCGCAACCAAACTTTTGGACTTATTTTCTCAGACTTTATGTATCCAAGCAACAATTATACTGATCTCCAAGTAAAAAATCAATAGAGTCGCCCCTTAAAATAAATAATATAGGCAAAAAGCTTGTCTTTCATGAGTGCATATGATTACTTGTCAATTGGCTGCACCATATAAGAGCTGATGTGACTACAGAGGACAGGCATGTCCACCTTCATATGTTCTTACCCTCTGCGGCCTGACAGCTGAAACCACTTTTGGACTAAAAAGCCGCAAAAACAACGATCAAGTTGTTATTGAAGAAGCTGGAGCCCGGGGTGGTAGCTGAGGCTCCAAAGGAAAAAAAAGTCAGTTTTCTTGCCCCCTTTTACCCCTGTGGGAAACTGCGAGGCCGCCCCTGGATTAAGTCCCCGCCTTTAAACTCAAATAAGAAGGAAACTTCAAAGGCCGTCGGCCGCCGGGGCTCCACCCTCGCGCTCCCGAAAAGCTTCACAAAGGATTTGCCGACGTTCGGGAATTCCGCCTCCAGTTCCTTTTATAGCGCCACTCGTGCGCTGGCAGCTCTCCAGGATCCCGCCCATCCGGTTACTTTGACAACACAAAGGACTTCACTGAACTCACAAGCTCCGCCCACTTTTCCAAATAAGGGCAGTCTCTCCATGTACGGCAAACAATCGGTGCGAGATTGCCCTTTTCTCTTCCTTATCCCGTTTATATGATCGGAGAGGAACTGCGCTTCAGGTTGGAAGCGGTGCGAACATGGCCGAGCGAGTCCAGCAGCCCCCAGCCAAGAGGCTCTGCTGCCGGCCCGGCTACAACCCGGCGTGCAGGCAGGGGCAGCGGGCTGGAGGTGTCCTGTGTGGCGGCGCGGGGTCCGCTCCGGGAGGGTCGGGAAATGGGAAAACGCACAACCCCGAGTCGTTGCTCGATATCGCGGCTCGCAGAGTCGCGGAGAAGTGGCCGTTCCAGAGGGTGGAGGAGCGGTTCGAAAGGATCCCGGAGCCCGTCCAGCGGAGGATCGTATATTGGTCTTTCCCGAGAAGCGAGAAGGAAATCTGTATGTATTCCTCTTTCAACGCTGGAGGAGAGGAAAGTGGAACTAGCGGGGACAATAATGACGAGACCCAGCTGCCTTTCCTACGGGGTGTCACTCTGTTGGAGGGTGGCTGGGTGGACAACGTATTGCAAGTCGGTGAGTGGACCATAGCGTTAGAGTAACGCAGGGAAACAGCATATAACCAACAAAACACCCAACTAGCACGGTTTGCCTTTTCCATTGGAGCCATGCCAGACTTTTAAAGGGCTCGTGTTTGCCTCCCTTAGTCTCGTCTATTATAAACAATGCAGGGTATTTCCACACCAGTCTACCCTATAGCTGTGTGTGAGAGCAGCCTATTTTCAGACAAGCCCGTAATAGTAGCCCACTTCTTCTTGTTTTTACCCACTGAGCTGCGCGCATTGAATGGCCCACAGCCATCCCAATTGGAAGCTTAGCACTTTGTTCCTATTTTTGTGTCTTTCTAGCTCTCCATGCCCCCACCGATGGGTACGCAGACAAAAGCCCCCTATATCTTTTCACCGCTGGCTAAATAGACGATATTTAGAAAGGGTGGGAGGGACGGTGATTTAAAGCCACAGTGCTTCTGTTTTGTTTGCCAAACACCTTTGTGAGACGGACTGAAGTCTTTCTTTCTGCCTTTCCAATATTCACTTAAAGCCCAAGCTATATGCACGGGGTAATTACAAATATGTTTTTTCCCCTTGGCGGCATTATTTTTGGTAAAGCTCGGGGTAATTAGAGGTGCTATAGGCTCAGCAACCCCCTGGCTGGCTGGCTGGCTGCCTTTGCCAGAGCCACAATATTTCACTGCAATCGTCAGTGCAATAGACTCAGCTGTCAATCCGACTCCCCACCCTTGGAAACGGTTCAGGATTCTAATCCCATTACCCTCCCCAGTTCATCTGAATCTTAATGCATTCTGCAAACAAGATTTTATGCATGATCTTCTTCCTCCTCCCTCCCTCCCTATCTCTCTCTCTCTTCCCCCTCCTTGTTCCCTCTTCCTCTCTCACTTCTTGGCTTACTATCCCTCCAAAGAATCTGTGTGGAGATGGCTTCAGCTCTTGTGGGCTCAGAGAATGTGCAGTGCACAATAGTAGCCATGGAGTAGGCAGACAGGAAGGCAGCTCTCCCTCCCTCTCTCTGGCCTGTTTACCAGATTCCCCAGCATTAGTCTCATTTATGGGCTCGGTCATTTGGGGCTTTAGGAAGCAAAGCACTCAGCTTAGGGTTAAATAAAAAGTGTGAGGCGTCAGCGAGGTATATGTAAGCAGTGTGTGTGTGTGCTTTGGGAAATAGTGACAGGCAGGGTAACGAGGTCATTTACTGTGGCCATGCATGTGCTTCTGTCTGCTTTAAAGAGATGGAAAAGTGTGTCAGAGTGTGTGTGTGGGCTTGATAAACACAGAGGGAAATTGCACATGCATCTCTCTCCCTCTGTGTGTGTGTGTGTGTGTGTCTGAGTCTGCATGGGCTGTCAGTCTCATCCCGCATGCTCACAGAGAGTGGAGAATGACAGGCGAGTACACAGCAGGAGGAGGGCATGTTATGCTGATTGCAATTTTCACCCCAGAATTTTTTATTTTTTTAAAGCTTGGGAAGATAAAGCCAGGAAGAGAAAATGATAAATAAAAGATGCAATCTACTCCAGGGGACAGGCAGCCACTGGAGGATGAGGGCTTAAAAGCAGGGCAGCGTGGGAGGGAGGAGGCTGTCAGCCACATCACACACCACATGTATTGGCCCATCAAACACATACAGTGGGTCTGGCCTGGAAAACAGTGCAGGGTGGCTGTTAGGGCGTGTATGTGTGCGCACACAAGCGTATATGCATGCATGACTTTGTGTGGCTTCTTGTGTGCAAATGTGTGTGCTGTCAGTGGGATGGGATTCAGTGTTGATGATGAAAGACAGTAGAGCAGTAGAATAGATGCAGAGGTTATTGTGTATGGGGGTTGGGGGGAGCTAATATACTTGAATGGATCTGCTGTCGCTGTATTCCACTCCTTCCCCTCCCATCCCGTCCTCTACCTCCCTCTCTCCCAAGTGAGCAGCTATAAAACTCTCCATATTTACTCCCCTAAGGCCAACTACCAGCCCCCAGTCTCCTGTGATTATTTATCTTTTTCTCAAAGACATTAATCACAAGCCTTTTTCCTTTTTTTTTGGGTCCCTCCATCTCTTTCCATACATCAGTGCTATGGAGAGAATGGATAGGGGGATGGCACTTAAGGGGAAGAGCAATAGATCGGGTGATATCAAGAAAAAGAGGGGAAGCCTAGAGGGAAAATGTGGGTGGAAAATGCAAAAGAGGAAAGAAGCATTGAAATGGTGATTGCAAGAGAAGGGAGATGCATGAAAGTAAAGAATGAAGTGCGGAAAAAGGGGGAGAGAGTGAGATGGATGGCTCGCTCTCTCTCCCATGCGGGCTCATCTGTTCCAATGCCAGCCTCTGAGATAAATTTTCATATACGAAATTCAGGCGTTATCTTAGCGGTCCACTGCTCCTCGGTTATAGCGGCGTTATAACAACCCGGCTTCGGTATTTTTGCGCTCCTCACTGATGTTCCGGTCAGCCACAGAGCAGGTGTCGGACCACATACCTAACCTTAACCTCTAAAGGCTTCTGTGTGTAATAATACATGAAAAACTGCAAACGAACAGCATTAAATATGCATCTTGCTTTGGAAAGCAGTCCCCCTAACAGCAGCTGTCTGTCATAAAAAATTACATTGTCATGAGGTGATCACAGAAACATCAGTAAATCTCACCAGTGGTGCCAAATTTTGAATCTTTTTTTAGCTTGTCAATCACACTGTACCGTGTGGCAACTGAGCATCATTTACCGGTATAGAAAACTTCTAGACCAGCCTGTTCTGATCACAGCATCTGTTCTCTGGTCCCCTTGTGTAATTTAGACTCAGCGGCTCATCTTCCTGAAAAGGAAGGCTAGTGTTATTGTGCCCCATCCTCTAATTATAGAATTCTAATCCTATGGCTGTAACATGGCATGACAAAGCATGTTTGCACTTCATTACCCTCCTTCCTGTTTTAGTCCTCCAGCATGGGTCAAGTTCATCCCCGCTGCTGTCATTTATTCAAGACTTGTACCTTTCCCTTGAACTCTCATCCCTGTGTTTCTAAACCCTCCCACCCCCCGTCTGCCTCCAGGGCTTTGTACTAAGAGTTAAAAAGGAAAAACCCCATAACTCACCACCGTACACACCACCACCTTCCTATCCTGTTACCGTAAGCCCCCATGTCCCCGAGGAGTGACATACTGATGCCTGGCATATGTCGCTCTCTGCGTCGTCATTAGCATAGTCTACGCGGGACAGCCTGTTTATCCAGCTCCGCTTGTTAGGCTAATTTTTTTTTTTCTTCCACATGAAGCTACATGTCATTTTTATCATCCTTACTGCCCCAAATCTGAGTGATGAGGCGGACACTTTGAGGGCGCTTTAAATTAAACTTGAATGAAAGTAGATACGCCATAACCTGTGGACCATTTTGCTGTGTTTTCCATGGTGGTGTTATCGGACTAAATGGCCTGTAATATTTTGCCTTGGCCCTGCCAAAAATATCACTGAGTGTCCATGGCAGTCATGCCGGTGTAAGTGTGAATGTCATCCTCCCCGACTCCACCTATTCCAGAGATAAACTGTTAGGTGTGTGTGTGTCTGTGGGTATGTTTGCATATATGTGTGTCTTGTCTTTTGCTTCTGCATGCTCATAACTCAGGTTAATTTGTTCACGCTCTGGAGAATCTTAATTAGGTTTCTGCGTCATCTGCTCTCACCAACTCTCCGTTTTCTTCCTTCTTTTAGAAGAAAAATAAAAAATAAGTCATGATGTCAATGAAACAGTGAAATAACAACCAGGCGAACCACCCGCCTGGTTGTTATTTCACCTGTTTTTTGATTGTTTTGTTTTTTTTTAAACCTCTTCCTATTTGTCACATGGAGAAAATCATAACACAGACTCTGCTTAAATTGTCTGTGTGGCTCCATTATTGTGCACCATGGGTGTGTTAGTGGAGATGCTGCACAAAAACTTTTATTTAACATTCGGCCAATATGAGACGACAATACAACATACAGAGAACAGCATTTAAACAAAAGGCTTGGTAAAAACAATGAAGGTTTGCACACATTGTTAAGTTATTGCTGGTATGACAATGCCAAAGAGAAATATTTTACAAAGTTGAAGGAACACAAACTTGTTTGTGCAAGAACAGACTCATGGATCCACATCCTTTTTTTTTTTTTTTTTTCCCTATGCACTTCTTTTGAGCTAAGGATTCATAAGGCTTTTTAAAAGAGCTTCTTCGGGGCCCACATCGACAAGCATTCAAACATTCTGTCCACAAAGGTGCAGAATTTAAGATGCGCAACGCAAATCTTGCAGGAGCATGTCGTCTGCGAGACGCTATCGGGCTGAGCGTTAAGGC